TTTTTTCGCCGTGGCCTTTGTGTGTTGTGGAGTATCTTTGCTACTTCTTTTCTTTTTCTTCTGTGGACTTTGTAGTTGTTCCTATGAGATGGTATGCTAACCATACTCGCCGCCTACCTTCCTCTCAGGCCACGGCACATAATTGTACCGTAGGTAGCAATCGATCCAGCCCGGATGCGGCGAGCCTTTCGCAGTGACATGGTCAATACCTAGTAAATAAAAAATAGCCAGCTCAACAATATCGCAAATTCTTCGTACCGAATGGTCCTGGATTCTCTCCCTCCCATCATCCGTCATCGCCGTTCGCGTTGCCCTCGTCTTCCGATTCGAGCTCTTGCGGCTTCTTCCCCGCATTGCCCTTCTGCTTCGACTTTTCCATCTCCGCACCCGTCGTCGCTGCGATGCCCTTGGAGGACAGATACAGGAAGTAGGGCTCTCTGTAGCCGTCGAGGTGGGAAAAGAAGGCGTTGAACCTGGAAGCACACATAAGGGTTAGGAACGGTGCCACAAAGAAATTGTAGACGTGATGGTGATGTTTCCTGTCAGTATGGGGAACTTACTGGTGCTGCTCGTTCTCCTCACGGAAGATGCGCTGGTAGATCTCCGTCTCCTTGAACTCTTCCATCTCCTTCTCCCACTTTGTGAACTCGACCTTCTCGCGTCCAAACTTCTCGGCGGCTTTGGCGTTGTAGCTGTCGAAGACGGGGCGCTCCAGAAGTAGGCCCAGACCAGGCACCTTGGGAATCGCCACGTCAACGTTGCCAAAGGCCTCCGTGATGCGCGAGATGGGACAGCCACAGCGGACAACCAGAGCTGCCATGCCCACCATCTTTCGGATCTGGTGCATCATGAAGCTCTGTCCGTGGACCTTGAGCGATATCCATTCCGTGTCGTGGATGATGATGGGCTTCTCGGCTACCCTGAACGACTTGATCAGTCGCTTGGCGGACGGGTCCTTGAACTTCTTTTGCACGGTGAAGTTGTGGTAGTTCTTGGTTCCCTCGTAGGCTTGCAGCGCGGCCCGCAGGCGGTCGAGCCGTGCTTCCGGGACGCGGTACGCTTGCTTCGCCGCCAGGTAGATGCCCTTGATGTGCTTGATGGCCGCATCAATTGTTCTCCTCTGATCGATGGTCAAGTGCTCAAACCCTGCCGGCACACCCTCTCCGGAAGTAGGTACAGTGTCGTCCGAAGGCCTCGTGGTGTCTTCTCCTTGTTGAATCTCGTCAGGCGCTCCCGGGTTGGTCGGCTTGTCAACCTTGATGATGATGGCTGCCTCCTCTGTCTTCTCATCGGCGGCGTCCTTCATTTCCTCATCAATGACCTCACCCTTCTTGTTGTCATCGGCCAGCAGAGCACCTTCCGAGCCCTCCTTCTTCTCGACCACGCGAACCGGCTGGGTTATATCAGACGCATCTTCGGCCGCTGCCTCGTTGGTCTTCTTGTTGGGGGCTTCGGGGTCCGTTTCCGACTCGTAGAGCGCCTTCTCGACAAGCTCCCTGACCCACGGCTCCAACTCATCGAGCGCAGGCCGGATCTGCTCCCGGTCAACCGTCTCCCAGAAATCGGCCACCTCTGCCTGCCTCGATTGATATCCTTCCATGTCATTGCACTCTTCGGCCAATTCCACGAGCTTCCTCCCAAGGTAACTGTTCGGGTGCGGCGGAAGGAATGAGTATGTCGGGATAAGATATTCGTACCAACGCGAATCGACAGCCTGATAGGCGCTGAAACTTCCAGTCGTGCGCTCGATTCCCCATACTCTGATCTGGGGCGAGAGGTGGCTGTTGATCTTTTGAACGATATCCGGGTCCTCGACAATAAGCTTGAGCGAGATGACGTTTCCAGCGGCGTGCACTCCCTTGTCGGTTCTGGCGCAGCGGACGAGGGCCGATTTCTTGGGGTCGTTGGCGTTGGCTTTGGAAATGGCTCCAGCCTTGACAAAGGCAGTGAAGAGGTCACCCTCGATGGTCTTCTCAGTGTGCATGCTAGGCTCTTGTCAGTTTGAAGCTTGATTGACAGCTTGCGACTGCGACTTACATCTGCATGCCCTTGTAGCCAGTGCCCGAGTAGCCAATCATGACGACAACCTTCCTCTTGGGCTGTCTGCTCTCTGCCTCAATCTCTTCCTGGGAAAAGCCCTTGGGGAGGACGGATTGAATTTCCTGGCCCTCTTCCTCTAGCTTGCGGCGCTTAGCTTGCTCGCGCTCGTTGCGCTTGCGCTTGTCTGGTTGATTGCGACTTCGATCAATTAGCTGCGCGCAAAAAGACGGAAGTACAGGGATACGTACAAATACTCCGCTCTCCCAGTATCTCTCTTCTTACCTCCCTTACCATGCTGGAATTTATTCTGCTGCCATTTGCGCTTGTTGCCGCCGCGAGTGCCGTTATCGCGGTATTGTTGCTTTTCACCAGTCTCGCCATCCGCAGCAGCGGAAGGCGCAGGGTCTTGAGCAGGTTGCGGCTCCATTGTGAGAAGGCTGGGGGCATGGGTGCGGGAGAGTATGCGCAACAAAGTCGATTTGCGGCCACAAAAGTTCGGACAGAGCGCCCGCCGCTCCTCACCGCCCGCGTGTCCGCCCAGCAGGCAAAGACATGAACTCCGAAGAACAAACCAGACCTACAGCAAACCGGGCAGTGATTGATCCAAGTAATTTCTGACTTGTGTGCACGCAAGAATCACAGTCTCACATCCTTAATGGAATGATTGTTTCGGCCTACGTCTAGATACCTATTTTCATGTATCAAATTATACTTACTGCGTGTCACGTTTTTCTTTTCACCACCAACCACCCAACTGGCATACATATGAGAAAAAGCAAAAGCACTGGATACAAATAGAGATGCTATTTATTATACAGTTGACTTAATGTGACGTCTTGACTTCGCTAAAAGTCAACCCCCACACGCTCCACCAGTCCAGCCGTGCCGGCGTGATCCCGGACAGTTCAACTTCGACCGCTGAACTCGCAACCCCACACGGCCATCGCGTCAATTCGCCCACCATGGCCGCCTCGGTCGACTCGCTGTCAGCGCTGCTTGCGAAAGCCCACCTCGATGACCACGAAGAAGTCCTCAAGGCCGCCAACTCCGCCCTGGCCAAGTCCAAGTCCGACCTCGACGCCCAGCACGTGCGCGTCATCGCCCTGCTCAAGCTCGACCGCTTTGACGATGCTCTGCGCCAGCTGAATCAGACCGGCGACAAGCTGAAGCAACGCGCCGCCTTTGAGTACGCCTATGCGCTGTACAAGACGGGCAAGCTGGCCGAAGCCGAGAGCGTCGCTGACTCCGCAGTGAGCACCGCGAGGGGCCCGTCCCGCGGCGCACAGCATGTCCTCGCTCAGGCAACCTACCGCGCCGAGAACTTTGAGCGCGCCGTCACCGTCTACGAGCAGCTGGCCGCGCGCGTGCAGGATGCTGACGCCGACTACGAGCACAACGACCTGCGCATCAACAGCGCTGCCGTGGATGCGCAATTGGAATGGCAGGGCAAGGGCCAGCTGGCGAAGAAGAAGAAGCCCGTGAGGGAGGACATGGAGGCGTTTGAGACGGCGTACAACGCGGCATGCGGCAGCATTGCGCGGGGCGAGCTGGGCCAGGGCGAGGTGCTACTGAAAAGAGCAAGAGACCTGTGTAATGCGAGCGAGGACATGACTGAGGAAGAGAAGCGCGCGGAGATTATGCCGATTTTGGTGCAGCAGCTCTACGTGCTGTCTCGGCAAGGCAGGGCCGAGGAGGCTGAGAAGCTCAGCCAGGAGCTTTCGATACCTGAGTATGCTTATTTCGAGTCGTTGCAACATATGGCAGAGAGACTAATTGATCACAGCATCCCAGACATGTCCACAAGGCATATCGCCGAAGTCAACGAGATGGCCGCCTCGACCGAGAGCTCGAATCCGTACCTCTCAACGCGCCGCGTGCGGTTCAACTCCAACCTCCCCAAGACCGACCAGCCCTTTGGCTTCCAGTCCGCGATCTTGAACCACAACAACTACGTCATGGAGATGACCTCGCACAAGCACAAGGGCGTCGCCACAAGCACTCTGACCAAGCTGCGCAACGACCCCCACGCCTCCGTCTCCCCCGCCACAAACTCTCTCTCCGTTCTAAACGCCGCAGCCCACACCAAGGGCCAAGTCGGCAAGGTCGGGCTCAGGGAGATACTCCCGCTCGTGAACAAGCGTCCCGACGACGTCGGCCTCATCCTCACCGCCGTGCAGCTCTACCTCCTCGAAAACAACCACAGCGCCGCCATCACACTGCTAGAATCCTTCCTCATGCGTCTAGAGAACAGCGCCACGCCCAGCGACCATGACGTGCGCTTCGCACCCGGCCTCGTCGGCACGCTCACAGCGCTCTACGCAAAGGAGGGCCGGCGCAGCTCCATCCGCGCCGAGTTCGCAAAGGCTGCCGAACACTGGCGCCGCAAGACGGACGCGACACCCCCGGCAGGGCTGCTGAAAGCCGCAGGCGCAGCGCTGCTCGAGAGCAGCAAGCCCGTGGACCTGGAGCTCGCAGGAGAAATCTTCTCGGACCTGCTGCAGCGCGACGAGGGGGACCGGGCGGCGGCCGCGGGCCTAGTCGCCGCGTACGCGACGACGCACCCGGAGAAGGTGACGCCAGCGCAGACGGACGCGCTGACGCCGCTCGCGCGCCTGATTGGCGACGTGGATGCCGCGGAGCTGGAGGCCGCGGGCGTGGCCGTCGCGCCGCATGTACAGCAGCAGACGGGGGCGAAGCGCGCGGCGCCGAAGGAGCAGCCCGCGAAGCCGAAGAAGGTGCGCCAGAGCCGCTTGCCCAAGGATATGGATCCCTCGAAGAAGATCGACCCCGAGCGCTGGCTGCCGATGAAGGATCGCAGCTATTATAAGCCGAAGGGGCGGAAGGGCAAGGCGAGGCAGGCGGGGTTGACGCAGGGTGGTGTGGTTGAGGACGAGGGCGCCAAGAAGCAGGCTGCGGGGCAGGTTGTCGGTGCTTCAGGGGGCGGGGGGAAGAATAAGAAGAAGAAGGGGAAGAAATAGGGGTAGACCTTTGTGGCAGGGTGGTGGATACTGTTTGATGCCCCCGCGTTTGCGGTTAGGGAGCACTATGTAGGTGCTTTGGTCTGAGGGCCGGGGCGATATAGGTAGGCCATGCCAGATGATGCCTTGTATGACCTTGCTACGAGTCTGTTAGAACATTGCGGGTACGATTTGTTTGCGCTTGAGCAGAATAGTGTACGCACAGTCATGACTGGTGACAGTGTCTGAGCTGGTCGACTGTTAAAACTAGCTTTGACTGTTTATACCGATGAACGTCTTTTAAATGTCTGGATTTGCCAACCAGCTTAGACATTATACCATTCTTGACTGTACTGCATGACGTGAAGTGTGGGGGTTGGACATGCACGACACTGGTGTTTAAGAGTATATTACTCAAGGCTTGCGTCGAATTAAAGAAGCTCGTTTTACTTTGAGTTACTTTTAGAAAGACGAAATAAACCTTGAATGTGCTTGACCAGAGATTTCCCTACAAGTAGATATACAAATCGCGCCTAGTCTGTACAACAATCATAGTACAACCATGCTGCTACATGTACAAGAAATTTTGCATACTGAGACCCATCTCTCAGCATTATGCAAATTCGATCTGATCCAAACCCATCATCATCATCCATCCAAAACAACGCCAACACAAAAACCTACGGCCGAAAATATCCTACAAAATCGAAGACTAAAACCGAATATCTCGTCAAAGGCGTGAAGAACGAATCATCATCATCAACATTATCAAAACCATTCACAACCACACTCAAACATCCTGCCGCGCGCCGACGCCGCCCGACGCCAGCGTATTACCAGGATAGTGCTCCTTCTCAGCGCCGGACTTGCCACGACTCCTGCTCCTACTCGAGTGGAACTGGTCGTAGCTGGAGCGGCGACTCTCCGACTCCTCGTCGTCAAACGTGCTCTCGCGCATAAACGGGCTGCGCTTGCGGATCTCCTCGCCACGGAACAGGAGCAGCACGGGGGCGAGACTCAGCACGAGGCCGATGAAGCCGAGCAAGCTGCTGGCCCAGTGGAAGCCCAGGTTCGTGTACAGGCTCTGGGAGGCGAGGGGCAGGAAGGCGCCGAAGGCGTTGCGGCCGAGCGAGGCGGCCGAGAGTGCCGACGCGGCGTATTTCTCGTATGCGTCGGCCAGGTAGTTGACCACGGCGAGGTAGATGCTGTAGATGCCGAGGCCGACGCAGCCGACGCCCAGCGTGGGCACGATCCAGTGGACGTGGGGGTAGCTGGACCAGCCGTACCAGAACAGACCGGCGGTGAAGAGCAGGCTGCCCGGCACGGAGAAGTACAGCCGCGCTTCTGGGATCGGCTTGCCGGGCCGCTGCTTGTTGTGCTGCGCGCTGCGCAGGTACAGCATGTCTTGGACGGGGTTAATGATGGTGCCGATGACGGCGCCCGCGCTGATGGCTAGTTGGATCAGCCCCGTTTGCAGCACCCCGAAGCCGTAGTTCGTGCTGAAGGTCTGCACGATTGACGACTGGAACAGGAATAGAATGCCCCATGCGAACGAGATCCACACCGTGAACGAGAACACAACCCATTCCGTAACCAGCATCTTGGTCGGCCGCATGAATGAGATCTTCAGCGAGGTCATCAGCGATGTCTTGTCCAGTTCCGACTTGGCGTAGCAGTTCGTCCGGCCCTGCTTGCGCAGCTTCTTTGCCCGCGCCCGAAGAATCACGTCGCCGCGCGTTTCCTTGAGGATGAACCAGAAGAGCGGCAAGCAGCCGCCGTCAAAGGCCAGTTGGATGTAGTAGATCCAGCGCCAGTTCATGTTGGCTGCGATAGCGGAGCCGATGAATGGACCCAGGGCAATGCCGATAACGGACGTCATGCCGAAGATGGACATGGGAATGCTGCGCGCGCGGTCTCCTTTCCAGACGTCTGCAATCGTACCTCCTACAATGTTGATGGAGACTGAGGAAGCGCCACCGCCGAACAGGCGCGTGACAATCAGAGTGGCGAAGTTCGGGGCGAAAGCGGAAGGGAGCAGCCAGATGAGGAAAAGAATGTAGGAAGCCTTTTGCATGTCAGCTATAGTAGCCCTGAGACCCGTTCGGTTGAACTTACAAAGTACCCAGGCATCCGTCCGGTCTGCTCAGTGAGCGGGACGAAAACCAAGGGGAACACAGCGGCGCCGATATTCCAGGACGTCGTAGCCCAGAACAGCCAAGGGAAGTTGTCTTCACTGATGTTAAACTGCTTCTCCATCTGGTCATTGCCGCCACCGTAGGCACCCGCAGGCAGACCAGTGAGAATAGAAATGAAGCACGTGGTGATGGTGATCAGCCACTTTCTCTTTTTCGACCAATTGAATCTGCTGCGGTTAGCATGATGCTGCCTAAAATATAGACATGGAGACGTACGGATTCTCAGGGTCGTTGGGCCCGTTCCAATCCACAATCTCCACATCCCCATTCTCGCCAGCCTTCTCGATTCTGGTTGAAGCCGAGGAGCGGCGTCGGTTCGGGTGCGTGTAAGCCTCCGCGGTATCCGCGTGCTCTTTTCTGGCCGGATTTGATTCTGAGAAATATCATGAGTATTGGTGGTACGAATTGCAAATCGCAAATAAAAAACTCACCAAGTTTCACGGCTCGGCGCCCTCTGCCTTGCTCTCCATCGGCTTTTTCGACGTCTGGGAGCGTGTCTCTTTCAGACATGGCGACAATACAGCAATGACACAGAGGGGACAGTGCGAGAGATGGAGATATCGTATGGAGAGCAATCAAACACGGAGACAGAGAGAGTTAAAAAGGCGGATTCATAGGTGGTGTGTTTCTACGTGATGATATCACATCTGGAGAAGAGCGCTCCACGCGGAGGGTGAAAATTGTGATGATGATGGGAGCTTGGTCGCACATGTAGCGTGAATGACGTTGAATAGAGAGGTTTGACAGTCCGGGTCCACTGCATCACCGAAGTTTCTTCGAGCCGTGTCTGCCGCCAACCTCCCCC